ACTTTTCCGTAGGTCTTCAACAGTTTGTTGAAAAGTTTTTTGTTTTTGTTCTACCAATAACAAACGTTTAGTAATTGACACAATCGATTTCAAGATTTTAACCATTTTTTCGTTTGAATTGTTGCATTTCCAGAAATAATCTTTAGAATTAAAAATTTGTTTGAAAAGATTAAAAAAATTCAAAAAAAAAAAATTACTTCTCGAATCAAATAAAAAATTCAAATGGTGACATTAAAAAAACATGGGAAGATATGAAAGAAATAATTGGAATAAAAAACTATAAACCTAATAGCTTACCTAATAAAATTTTCATAAATAATAAAGAGTATAACAACAAATTTGAAATCTCAAAAAAATTTAACAAATTTTTTGTAAACACTGGCCCTAATCTGGCCTCAAAAATTTATTCTCCTAATAACTCATTTAAAGCCTATCTAGAAAACGTTAACTGCGAATTAATATTTAAAGAACTAAAAATTGAAGAACTAGAAACTGCAATAAAATCTCTTAAAAAAAAACAAGTCTCCAGGTATAGACGATAATTGCAGTAATATTGTTTTCAATGTTTTTTCAGAAATAAGCAAGCCTATTTTTGAAATTTTCAAATCGTCGATTAACACAGGAATTGTACCGGACAAATTAAAAACGGCTAAAATTATACCCATTCTTAAAACCGGTGAAACATTATCTTTAAATAACTACAGACCAATCTCCATACTATCTACTTTCTCTAAACTACTTGAACGAATAATCTACAATAAATTATATAATTATCTAACTCAAAATAAACTCTTAAATAAAAAGCAATTAGGTTTCCAGACACAACACTCGACCGAACATGCAATTCTAGATCTAGTAAATACCATAAGTGATTCATTCAATAAAAACCAATTTGTTCTAGGATCCTTTATAGATCTATCAAAAGCGTTTGATACTGTCAATCATAATATATTACTAAATAAAAGGAAAAATATGAAATAAAAAATATAAATCTTGATTGGTTCAAAAGCTACCTGTGTGGCAGACAACAATGCGTAGTTTCAGACAATAACAAATATTCGAACCTTTTAGAAATAAAATGAGGAGTTTCTAAAGGTTCCATTCTTGGTCCCCTACTATTTCTAATTTATATCAATGATCTTCCAAAAGCCTTAAAAAACTTGATGTTATTATGTTTGCCGATGACACAAATCTATTTTATTCATCGTCATCCATCAGAGAACTTTATGAATCAATGAACACTGATGTTGAAAATCTCAACATCTGGTTCAAGGCAAATAAATTATCTTTAAATACAGAAAAAACCAAATATATCTTGTTTCATTCTAACCAGCAGAAAAATAATATACCACAAATCCTACCATCATTAAAAATAGATAACATATGCATTAAAAGAACTGAAAAAACTAAATTTCTTGGAATAATTATTGATGAGAAGATTTCCTAGAAGGCCCATATAAGTACAATAAATAACAAAATATTAAAAAATATAGGTGTTCTTTATAAAACTAAACCAATGCTCTCACAATCTAATCTTAAAACTCTCTACTTTTCTTATATTCAAAGTTATTTAAATTACGCTAACATTGCATGGGGGAGCACACATAAATCTAAATTAAATTCTCTATTCGTGCATCAAAAACATGCATCAAGACTGGTTTATAATAAAAATAAATTTACTCATGCCGATCCTTTACTTAAATCTTTAAACGCACTAAAAATCTATCAAATTAATATATACCAAAATATTTTATTTATGTTGAAATACAAAGTTGGACTAGTTCCAAATTATTTTTATAATAACTTTTTTAAAATTAACGCTAATAAGTATACTACAAGAGGAACGGGAAATTTCACGTTGCCTATAAAAAAAAAAAAAAATTTCGCAATATGCAATTGTATACCGTGGCCCTTTCCTATATAATAAAGTCATACCCCAAAATATAAAACTTAGTAATTCTGGTAATCTTTATACTTTGAAGAAAAACCTTAAACATCTCATAATTAACTCAACAAATTTTATCGATATGTTTTAAACATATTTGTCAAGAAAGTGAAAAAGAAAAAAAATAAATAACAAAATCCAAAATTCTTATACAACACCTACTAATTTTAATATCTCAATATTTTTATGTGTATTACTCTAGTAATGTCACTTAACAAGTTTGCTTCTTAATTTTTTACTTATTTTATGTCTCAAAGATTCTCGATGACAAGACTTCTTTAAGTCTTCTGCGAGTTTCCTTACAACATCACAATTATTTCACCAAATTATCTTATCAAATTTATTGTCATAAAATATATATAAAACATATACTTTGTATTTAACACAGTGTGTTTGACAATATATTTTTAATGATTTGTATATGTATATACATCTATTGATTTGTATATACATCTATTGTTGTTTTCTCTTTGACTATATATTTTGTCAAGAGAAGGAATTGTAACAATAGTTTATTAAGTTGTAAAAAATCATTAAGAAAAAAAAATAAATAAATAAAAATTAAATTTTCGTTTACTTTGAATTTTTTTACCAACATATTTTCAATGTCTTTTTTGCTTGCCATTTTCAATTTAATGATATATATTAAAATATAAATGTAAAAATGTATAGAAACACAAATATTTCTTGTATTAGTTTATAAATTTTTTAAGTTTACTATTAAGAAATATTTACATCCGTTCGCAAAGAAAACCATGATACGAAAAGTAACAGTTATTTTTGTTTTGCAAAGAAAATAAGTTCCGAATGGGCTCTTTAAAACTACTTGGCCCCAAAGTTTGGGGGTATTGGGGAGCCTAGCGACGGTTCTGTTTTAACATTTAAATTTCGATTACAAGCCGTTTTTCTTTTTTATGATATATTAACAAATCAAATAAATAGTCTTTTGATGACGACACTTCGATTTGGTTTAAATATGTATGGGTTCTACAAGAAGCGATATTACAAGTACGTATGTAAATAGTCTCATCTGTACAATCTAAAGAATGTTTCATCACACTGGATTTTCTTTGAGAGGACTTTGAATTACGCACTTAAGTCCAGCAATAACCAGCAAGCAATGAAAGTGAAGGTTTTCTTTTATAACGACCTTTCATTTTACTAATTTCTTGATGAAATCGTTCACCATGCTCATCAGACACATCACACGTGTTTTCAGGGGAAAATTTAGGTGAGAACCCATAGAGTGAAGTTTGAATGACATATTACAGCCTAGGCTTTCATAGTTCTTTATCATATTCTTTATAAGAGATTAAAAATTTGCAGCTTTATGTCGTCCAAGAAAACCATTGCAAACATTTCGAAAAGACTGTCACGCTACTTTTTGAAATGCTGTCACGGGAGGGGGTTTACTGGGAGGTATGAACACTGGGCTAGTTTTTTTTTTTTTTTCAACAAATTTTTTTTAATAAAAATTGTTTTTTAAAAAAAAACTTTAAAAAAAATTGAATTGAACAATTTTATTTCATAATAAAATATCAATGCTAGGTATCATTTTTACAATACAACTTAACGATAAAGTTGTCTGTATATTCAGAAAAAAAACGTTTATTTATGTCTGAGATATGAAAGTTCAAAGCTGAAGTGACCGAACTTAAACGATTTTATGGTACTCTTTGTTATTTTATTTCGCATTATCTGATTTTTACGCACTACAAATTTTACCAGCGTTCTCACGCAAATTCCGTCGTGCGAATTTAATACCCAACTGGAATTACTTGTGTTTCAAACAAAAAGAATTATTGCTGATCATGTCCGAGGGTAATTATTTGTTTATTTTTTAGCAATCGTTAAAGAAAAGGAAACTAAAATCAGATAATTGAACTTTAAACCGGATTTTAACAAATAGAATATTTATTGACGAAGATCATATGTTATTCGTTAAACGATTATTACTATTCGTACTAATCGTAAATTCGTACTAAAATTACGGTTACGAAGTTTAATGAATATTCGCTATTGGACTTCGTTTAACTTTGAATGATATTTTTGAATAAATATTTGTTGGTGCTTATTCGCACGATAACATTTTTTTGAATTGAAAACAAAAAAACACGATTTTTTGGGGAACTTTTACCACAATTACTGTCGCAATTTGCGCCAGCATTTAGAACTCGTGTTGGTTTCAAATATTAAAATCAAACACTTTAAAATTTTGACAATAACTTAGTAAGAACGTTGCAGAAGATTTGGAAATAAGTTTTTCTCAAGTTTTTGATTTTATCAGCACAGTCAAAAAACCTGTTAAAAGAACAGCATAACTATATATCTTAATTCTATAGATATAAAAGATGAGACATGATCAACAAGACTGCCGCGCGCAAAAAAAAGTTGAGTTGACACAGCGTCTCCTCAACTTTTTTTTGCGCGAAGAAAGCCATAGAGTTCAAACTTACTACAAGTTTGAACTCTATTTCTTTCTTTAACAAAGCAAGCCCTTTATAACTACTTTATTACATAAATCAACTTTAAAGCCTATACTATTTTTCCAGTTATATAAAGTTAAATCTTATGATAAAAGTTTATAAGAAGGATTACTGTCAATTACTGATATTACCAAAACATTACTGTCAATTACTGATATTACCAAATCATTATTTAAAATGACACGCACCAAAGTTTTTGACAAACAATTATGGTTTTATAAAAGGCAATCTCCCATAAATATAAGCAACTAAAAAAAAAATGTTTTAAAAAACTTCGTTAATGTTAATTCACTTCCCCAAAGCCACTGCAGTCGGGGAGTCCACTTAAATTGTGGTTACATTTTATAAAGCCTCACCATGTCTCTAAGGGAAGTAGTGGGGATCTTAAATTGAACTCAAAACTTCTCGCTTATGAGGCGAACGATCTACTACTACACCACTACCAAATTTGTCCATTATATTTGTTTTTACTTTGTTTATAATAAAAGAATAATAAATTTCATACCACAATAGAAAAATACTAACTCTGCCTTATTAAAGTCTTTTTACTTGAATTAAAAACAATAGTGAAAATTTTATTAAAATCTAATTACAAATTATGGTTGATTTCTTCATTGAAAATGAAAAAATGAACAAACACGCCTAAATTATTATAAATATTCTAAGTAAAATAACCCAACTTTTTAAGACATAGCTTTTCAGTGTCATTAAGCGTTTGAGTGAAGTTTGAAAAATACGGCAACTGACAAAACTCTTCGAGAAAATGTGTAAGAATAGTCTAAAGAAAGTTTTTAAATTAACAATACGTGTATGCTTTCTCTCTCTCTTTTTATTTATATATATATATATATATATATATATATATATATATATATATATATATATATATATATATATATATATATATATATATATATATAAAATATAAAAACATCAATTATTACGAGTTCTCTCAATACTTTTGTTAATTTATTTGAAATTTTCGCTGGATTATAGTTACCTAGATCATCAGCTATAATATCGTAATATTACGATATTATAGCTGTTCATCAGCTATATTATCGTAATATTACGATATTATAGCTGTTCATCAGCATCATCAGCTATAATATTGTAATATTACGATATTATAGCTGATGATGCTGGTAACTATAATCCAGCGAAAATTTCAAATAAATTAACAATAGTATTGAGAGAATTCGTATTAATTGATGTTTTTATATTTTTAACGTATATACTCTAATACAAGATGTCAACATTTAAATCATATATATGTATACGTATATATATATATATATATATATATATATATATATATATATATATATATATATATATATATATATATATATAAATATATATATATATAAATATATATATATATATAATATATATGAAAACATATATAATATAAATATATGAAAACATATATTATATATCTGAAAACAAAAACTTTCGTAAACTTTTAAAACGGAATTTAGATGATTCAACTTTTTACAAAAAGTAGTTTCTAGTATTCGAAAAAGTTAATTTTAATAAATTTAAAAGCAAAAAAAAAAAAAAAAAAAGTTACAAAAATTGATCTCGTGAAGATTTTAATTATAGAAAACATGTTTATTTTGATGCAAAAATTGTTTTTAAAATTTTATGTAAAAATTTATAATTTTTTTTAGACAAATTAATAAAAAAAAGCATCCGGAAATTTCTGGAAAATTAAAGGAATTTTAAGTGAATTTTCGGATTTCCGGGAATTCCCGGAAAAAACTCATCTATGTAAATATACATATATATATATATATATATATATATATATATATATATATATATATATATATATATATATATATATATATATATATATATATATATATATGTATATATATATATATATATATATATATATATATATATATATATATATATATATATATATATATTCCTTACTATATTACATATATTTTATCATTTAAATAGAAGAATTGTAAATGTAAAGTTTTTAACTTGATTAAACTTCGAATTAAAAAACTAAACTTCTTTTAAACTTGCTTTTAAATCTAAAAATTATTTTTCTCTGACATGAAATTTTTTTTTAGTGTGTTGTATATAAAATAGTAGAGTGCACATACTGAAATGACAACCTTTATTTATTTAAAGATTGTAGAATCTATTTCTTTCACAAAAATAAAACTAATATTATATAATTATAAATATTTTACAATATATTCACAAAAAGAAATATACTTTTGACAAAAAATATATTTTTGAAAAAATAACCTTTAGATCTGTGTTGTTTAAAGGATCTTCCTTTGTGTCAGGATCATCCTCAAAATCTTCCTCTTCATAATCTAAAACATACATGCAAATATACACAAAAATATAAAAATATTTTAGTAGATAATTTAAAAGCCATTTAAAGAAGAAAAATATTCATTGAGTTTATCTGACCTTCAAACTTATTTCCTTGGCTAAGTATTGCCTCAATCGCTTGCTGAACAGTTATTTCATTTGAGTTATCTCCAATATCTTCCCAATCATCTTCCTAAAGTTGAATTAATTTCTTTTTAAAAAAAAAAGTAAGAAAGCTTGCTCTCTTACCTTAAAGTCAGAATAAGGAGGTGGAGAAATTGGACAAGGAGGAGGAGAAATTGGACAAAAATAGTTTTTTTTAATATGCTAAAAAAATTTATTGATAAGCAAATTATTTGGCTAAAAAAATTTATCTAGCTACCATACCTCTTCACTGTCTTCTTCCTCCTCACCTTCTGCATTTTCAGAAAGCTCTAGTTGCACTAATTCAGCAACAACCAATTTAAACAATTTTATAGCCACTGGTATCTTAGAGAACTCTGCTTCTAAAAAAAATGTTGCAAGCTAACAGATGGAGAAAAAGATGACAAAAATGGAGAAAAAGATGACATATATGGAGAAAAAGGCGACATTCTAAAAGAAAAAGACAAATAAGAAAAAGATGATTCTTTGAAAACTCAACCTCTACTAAGCTTGTATAATTTAATAAAATGTAAAAATTAAACTAAAAAAAAATGATACAAATACCTTTTTTTGAATGAGACCGTAACACTCTTCCTTAAGAAAAAAAAATTATTTTAATAAACTTATACATGTTTGAAATTTTTTTATTTTTCAAATCTATTACCTTCTCCATTAATTATTTCATCACCATTAACATGAATAGTCTCAAATCGAACATCATTAGTTGCCACGATATACATAAGTAACTTACAAATTGCATCAATACTAGAACCATATTAAAAAAAAAAGTGTCATTAAATGAGTTAATTTAATAATGTAACAATAACACAATAAAAAAACAAACAATAACCTCGATATAATCTCATATCCTCCGATAAAGCTAGAATGTTTTGCACACCACTCACTTAAAATATAATCTAATGCAGAATTTCCAGAAGGTCCAGGAACCATGCTTAAAAATTCCAAGGTTGCCTCTAATTGATTTCGCAACAGTTGAATAAATACCATAAGTAGCGACTAAGCAGAAATCAAAATTTTAACAACACTTTTATAACTTTGCTTTTAAATTGCCTAAGCTGTAGTAGTTGTAAAGTTGTAGAAGTTGTAGTAATCGTGAAGTGAGAGTTCCCACTATTAAAACTGAGGCTAAAAGTAAGGATTTTAAGGATATTTAAGGAGATATTTTCCTAATATTTAAGGAGATTCGGAGAACGACCATTTTTAGATAGAAAAAGTCAGAATTCAGGAGAAAACGATTACATTAAAAACAGAATCTTATTTTTTTCAATAAATGTTAACTATAAACAGAAAAATTATTATAAATTAATATATTTCTTTACATATATAAAAATACAAATATACATATAATAGAAATATAGGTTTGCAAACTATCAAAGAATTTAATTAAAAATTATAATCCATTCACTTTAATAAAATTTCCTAGATGTTTAAAAAAATAAAATAAATAAGGAGAAACTAGGGAGAGCAGTCAAATTTGAACTTTTTTAAAGGTTATTTAAGGACTTATAAGAGGGATTTTTTTAAAGGTTATTTAAGGTTTTTAAGGAGGAATGGGAACCATGGAAGTTGTAGCATTTGTAAAGTTGTAGAAGTTGTAAAATTGTAGTAATTGTGAAGTTGTAGCAGTTGGAGTAGTTGTAAAGTCATAGAAGTTGTAAAATTGTAGTAATTGTGAAGTTGTAGCAGTTGCAGTAGTTGTAAAGTCATAGAAGTTGTAAAATTGTAGTAATTGTGAAGTTGTAGCAGTTGCAGTAGTTGTAAAGTCGTAGAAGTTGTAAAATTGTAGTAATTGTGAAGTTGTAGCAGTTGCAGTAGTTGTAAAGTCATAGAAGTTGTAAAATTGTAGTAATTGTGAAGTTGTAGCAGTTGCAGTAGTTGTAAAGTCGTTGAAGTTGTAAAATTGTAGTAATTGTGAAGTTGTAGCATTTGTAAAGTTGTAGTAGTTGTTAAGTTGTAGAAGTTGTAAAATTGTAGTAATTGCGAAGTTGTAGTAGTTGTAAAGTTGTAATGGTTGTAAATTTGTAGTAGTTGTAAAGTTAAAGTAGTAGTAATTACAGTAGTTATGAAGTTGCAATAAAAGAATTACCTGAGTAATAGTAAAATATTGACATTGCTGCAATTTGCTGAGAACTGATCTTAATATAATTGATAAATTATCTCCTAACATTGATCCTGCCTGTAAAAAAAAATCATTCAAAAAAAAAAAATTAATAATTTCAATGTTAAGCAAAGAGCTGATTTATATTTTCAAAAGCCCTTTTTCATAAAAAAACAAATTTGATTTGAATGTGGAACAAAAGATTAACCATGATTTGTAAATTTTAGGGTTAATACTTACGAAAATTTTACGAAAAATATTAGTCATTTTTATATTCAATTGATAAAATAAATAAGCAGGTAATTTAATTGTAAAATTAGGGGATTTTTATTTCAACTAACTAGCCTGTATTTTAAACATTAAAAAATATATTTTGTTTAATAGGAAAGGTAGAATATGTATAAATTAATGAATATAACAATAGACACAATAGACAATTCAATTTATAATTAATTATGTCAGTCAAAAGTATTGTCTTTGGCAAATATTCCCAAAACCAAAACCAAAACTATGGATAACGTTTAATATTAGCTTTTTTAACACCAAAATGAAAAAAACTACTCCAAACAAGACAAAAGTGTTCATACTGTTTGAGCAGGATTTAGAATAGAAACTCTTTGAATTCTTCACACAATCGAAATTTACCGTTATGAAAGAAAATTTTAAAAATAAACCAATAATATTCTGCCTGAATTGATCATTCTTAAAAATGAGTTTTGGTCATTAGCACATCAAAGAAAACTGAGGAAACATTTAACCCATGTCAAAAAGTTCCTAAATTACTAAGAAATTCAAATGCACAAGGCATTGAAGTGAAGCAATTAGTTAATCAATGTTACTTTAGAAAAAAGTCAAAAAAATTAAAGCTTTGCTGAACTTTACACAAATATTCTTTAAAATATTATGCAATCTTAAACACCCTTGCAATTAATGTGACATTAACTCAAAAATTCTTTTTAATAGAGGAAAATATATTTAGGATATAAAGGATATTTATAAAGGATTAATATATAGGAGCCTAAAATTATATTTGGTACTTTAAAGTACCAAATATATTTTTAGGCTCCTATATATTTTCATACTTTAATTCATGCTTTAATAAAAACTATTTAATTTAATTTTAAAAAATGCTCCTGAAATGTTTATTTAAAAAAAAATGCCGATTTTCTTTAGTTAAAATATGACCACAATTAAATAAAAAAAATTTTGTAATTTTTTTTTAAAGAGAAAAAAAAAAAAAAAAAAAAAAAAAGGATGCGAGGGGGGAGGGGGACGGTTGTTTAAAAGTTTTTATACTTAAAAATACAAAGAGTTATGCATATTACATTACATATTATATTAAGAAATGTTATATTACGTAAAGAAATTCAAAAAAGTTTTTAAAGATATAATACCCGCTCACGCGTTTAAACAAAATGCGTATAAAATATTTTCTAATTGTTATATTTAGAAAACTTTTTAAATTTTGCGATTCAATTAAAACTTATTAGTTGAAAAAAATGCTATTTAAATATTAGTGAAAACTTGTTTTAAGTTTTTATCTAAACAATTTTTTAAAAATATACAGATATAGAATTTACGTTTAAAGTTACTTTTGCTAATTCATTTTTGGGGTTATTTAAAATCTCAAAATTTCTTTTTTCTTTTTTAATTGCATTTTTTAGCTTAAGAAATGGCGTGTAATTAGAAAATAATCGTCTTTTGTTTAAATAGAAAAAAAAAGTAAACATTTTGCAATTTTTGTCGCGTCCATAATCCGCGTCAGAAAATTAAAAAAAAATATCAATTAGTTCTCAATAAGCTTTCTTTTGGCTTTAACTTGTGGTAAGTTGATGTAATTAAAATTTTTTTTGGACCTTTACCATATAATAATTTGATGTAATTTATCAATTCAACAAATTTGTTTGAAATAAAAAGTGGTAACTGGTAAACGCAAGCGATAACCACTTTTTTCCTTTTTATTTTTTAATTTAATGTAATAATTCTTTACATAAAATAAATTTCTTAGTTTAGAAATTACCGCAACATCAAAGAATAATTTTAATAAATTTTTAATTTATTATCTATACTAAAGTAGCATGTCTTCATTAAAGAAGACATCAAAAGATTAACGTTTTAAACAATAATTAATCAAACTAATGTAATTTATTTCATAAAAATTCAAATCTTTTTTTTTTTTATATAAAATTGTTCACTTTTCTATTTAGAGAAAAAAAATATTTTTTTTTTATTTAAATGACCTTTGTATTCATAAAATCGAACAATTTTTTATTTCATAAAATACTTAATTAAATAAATTGTATAAAGATTCCAATACAGAGCAAAAAGTAACTGACGTTCGAATATCTAACCGTTGATGTTTAAACTGTTAACTAATCAAAAGAAATCAATAGACAAGAGCATCAGCCAATATATTCGGTATTTTAAAAAATGTCGTCTTTGTATATTTTTCTTTTAACTATGGTAATTTCGATCCGATGCCAAACGACAAGCATAGAACCTTCTCCTTCAACAGAATCGTCTGTAACAGATTCTTCAATACTTTCTGACACACCGCAAATTTCTGTTGATCCGTCAAGTACAACATCTGGTATGAACAATAATTTAGTTTCAGAATAATTTTTTATTTTGTATCGCTTAGATCAGTGAAAATAATTACATCTACGAAACTTTTTTTTAATAATTAAAATTCAAATTATATACAATTTTTCTTTAATGATAAATTTATGATACTTGAACCTTTTTTCAATTTAGCAGACCAAATTTCAAGTATTATGGTGTCAACTTCATATGGCTCAATTTACCAAACTACAGGTTCAAACAATGATTAAGTTAAATGCGTTAATTCTGTGTAATATTAACTTCATGGGGCGGATATAGATTTTGAATTAAAAAAAAAATACTGAAAGATTACAAGCAAAAAAAGAATTTGATTTACTTAATCCCTAGTGTCAAGGGAGGGTAAAATCCCTTTTTAAAAGTCTAATACTTTTTAACCCGCCTCTGAATTTTTTAAATTTACCATTAATTGGGAATTTATCAATTTTAGGGGCCTATTTGCAAATTGAAGGTTTTTTTTTTTCTTTAAACTTAATGGAAAATCTTTTTAAGATTTTTGGGGGGAGGGGCTCCAACCCACTTGCCACAACACTCTTTATAATATTAACTTAAAAATTATACAAATCTTTTAACTTGCGTGTGTATTATCTTTTTTTTGTATTTGCATCAATGCATATATTTTTAATTTTAGAAAGTTTAGATGCAACGTTAACACCATCCACTTCGTTGCTTAATGCAAGTATGTTAAGCTCAGATGCAACTATGCTAAGCTCGGATGCAACTATATTAAGCTCGATAAGCACAGGTGCTATTTTACTGTTATCAAAATTAAAGGCTTAACTAAATGTCAAGACTTAGTTAAGCCTTTAACTTTGACCCCTCGTAGGCCTAATGATGTCAAATAAATTTGAGGCCTAATGATGTCAAAACAAGCTCAAGTAGTCAAACAATAATCATGAATACTATAACATTTATTTATTTCAGAAATTGTTTATTATTTTTTATATTTATTTCATTAATTTAAAATTAAAACAAATTTTTATATTGCATTTATGTTATCTTCTTTAGTATTGATATCATTTTTATTTTTATTTTAGTGAATTTAAATGCAACGTTAACACTGTCAACTTCATTGCTTGATGCAACTATGTTAAGTTCGAAAAGCACAGGTGCGATTTTACTGCTATTAAAATTAAAGGCTAAACTAAATGTCAAGACTTAGCAGTCAAACAATAATCATGAATACTTAAACATTTATTTTTTTCAGAAACTCTTTATAATTTTTTACATTCAGGCCTGTAGCAACGAGAGGGGGGGGGATTTGGCAGCAGGGACATTTGCCCCCCAATAATTTTTCAAATAAACAATTTTGAAGAAATTGACTGAAAAAATGACTAAAAAAAAAGGTCCTTAAAACTATTTCGAAGTAGTATTGCCCCCTCCCCCCAATATAATTTTTGTTCCTGCGGGCCTGACTTAACTTACATTAACTTAAATTTGAGAAAAAATTTCAATCTGTATCTGTGTTATCTTCTTTAGTATTTATATTGATTATTCTTTTAAATTCAAGAGAATTCAGATGCAACGTTAACACCGTCCACTTCATTGCTTAATGCAACTATGTTAAGCTCGGAAAGCGCAGGTGCCATTTTACTGCTGTTAAAATAAAAAAATGCGAAGGGCTAGCAATCAAAAAATAATTATAGTTACTTAAACATTTATTTTAGAAATCGACTCAAATAGTATTATGGCAACATCAACCGTTTCTGATACCGCATCTGTGGATATTGAAGCATTACTAATGGAAACAACAGTTAACTCATTAACATACGAGAATCTTATTCAACAACCAGTGATGATAAAGGTCTGATTTATTAGGTTTTTATTGATTCGATGAATCCAGACCACCTAGTAAAACAGGGAGTCAATTTTTAGGATTAATGATTTGTGAGGAGGCAAACCCACAAATCATTAAGCTTTTTTAGTTAATTTTTGCAGAATACAAAAGTGCATTGTCTTAATAAAATTAAAACAATAAAATTACATTATCCAACTTTTTTTGCATCACACAAATTTATTGGTTTGGTATTTTTCTCATTTATAGACATCTTTTGCACTAACAAACACGTGGAATGCATCATTAAATAACACTTCTAGTCAAGAATACATTGCATTAAAAACAAAAGTGATTAACGGATTTAACAATCTTTATGCAAGTGATCCAGACTACATAAATACAACGCTAACAAATTTTGCTCCAGGAAGTATCATTGTCAATGTTATTATAAACTTCGCTCCACAAACAACTACCGCATCTGCAGAAACAAAAAAAACCACGTTGATCCAAGCATTTAGTCAAAACACTTTTGCAAGTTTTGCAGTAGTTGCTAACTCTATGAATATTACTCTTGTAACAAACGGAGAGTGGTCACCTTGGAACGATGTTACAGGTAAACTTTATTTGAAATATGTTTTTATTGCCAGGAAATTATACTACTTTATTAAAACAAGATCATGAGTATAAGCATTTTATTTTAAAGGAATTTGCGTAAACTCGCTAAAAAGCCAAATTCGCGTATGCATATCAATTGGAGGAGGTTCGCCGTGTGTTGGTTCTAACACCCAAACAATTCCATGCACATCTTCATCGAGTGTATCAGCGACTTTAACACCATATTCTTTGTTGTCTTTTATAATTGTAACAACCACTATTATTTTGTCATAATTTTTATATTTTTTTAAAATTTGTAATTTAAATAATTTATTTGATTTAAATGTGTAAATAGCTGGATAAATGAATGTATAAATAAAAATAATAATAAAAACGATGTCTTACTATTATAATATAAGTATGCGTGTGTGTGTAAATATACATACATATATATTTATATTTACACACACATATATACGCACACACATATACACAAATTTATTTCCAAAAAAGCTGCAAGCAACCACTACATGTTTTTTTAGAAGAAACTTATAAAAAACTAATACTAGAGACCCCAAAATATTAAGAAACTTTTAACACTTAGTTACGGTTCAATAAGAAACTTTCAATAAGAGTTCAAGGAATATTTCATAATACATATCACATCAACATAACACAAAATTAAAATAATTGTCAATTCCATTCGATTTGCGCATGTAATACGTATATATATATATATATATATATATATATATATATATATATATATATATATATATATATATATATATATATATATATATTGTATGATATTTTGTATTTGCAATAAAATACAAAAAACTCTTGTGCGTATAAGAGTGCTCAATTACATGGCTGATGATTGCCTTTAGGCATGAAACTATTAGTACCATAAAAAGTTGTTTTCTGAATTTTTATAAATTAATATATATATATATATATATATATATATATATATATATATATATATATATATATATATATATATATATATATATATATATATATATATATATGAACAAACTTAAAAAACTTTTATTAAAATTTTGGTACAATTATAGGAAAATTAAACCCTACTAGCCCAGTTAAGAGTTACTATAAAGTAGTCGTCTTATCTCTATAAAGTCAGAAAAACATAAATATTTTTTGAACATAAATAAAACAATAAAAAAACGTACGCGTTTGGCGCGTACAGTAAGCGTTTTAGGATAGTTTTGTGCGTTTGGGATTTGCACGCGTTTGTGTACGCATATCTAGAAAGTTGAAGCAAATAAAAATTTATTTTATAAAGTATTTCATTAAAATAAAAAGAAATTTAAATAAAGTTATTTAATAAATGAATTTAATTAACCGTAATTAGTAAACTAAATGATGTAAATTTATATAAAAATAACTAACTTTATAAACATAACTATAACATACAAAACTATATGAATTAAGTTTTTTTATTCCCATTAGAGAAGAAAAAAAAGTAGGGGCACCATGACACACTTTTAGTTTTTGCTTCGTAACAATTTTATTATTACGCCTATTTTTTAAGCGATTGGTTTAATTTGTAGAATAAATTAATACCCACAAAATAAATTGTGGGTATTAATTATATATAATATAACAAGGTAAACTTTTAAAACAAATGAAAGTAAAATTAGAAATTTGTTTGAAAGTACCCCACCCATATGGTACCTTGATACGCACTAAGAACATCATAAAAAAAGTAAATAAAATGTATAAAACATACCAAGGCAGTTTTTTATTTGAAATATAAACAAATTAATATTTATAACCCAAAAAATGCACCCAATAGTCCAAATCACATTTCAGAACACTAGATAATATATCGTTTCAAGTGTCATTCTTAAGCGTTAATAAATAATGGCTTTGTATCGGAATCTCCTTGTATTATATTTACATAAATCTTTTTAAAACTGACTATAAATATTAAAAGAAATGATTTTTAGAATATGTTATAGACACAATGGAGCGCGATTCTACAGTTTTAGGGGCCCCCACAAATGCTGTATCAAGTTACCCCATACTTGCTAATAGAAAACAATCGCTTTATTTTTAGCACCAACTTGTTTTTTCAATTTTGTTTATTGAAGTAAAAGGCTTATAAATTGCAGTTTAAAAAATAATGTAACTTACCCATAGACACATTGAATAAGATACTTTAAAACTTATGAGCTTTAAAAACTAATAAATTACTTCGTTTTTGAAAATTTCGACCCCTCGCAGGCCTAATTAAATCAAATGATATATTTAGTAACTGTTTCACTATATGACAGTGATTGTCACAACTCTTAAGATGCCTCCACAATTACAATGTTTCATGGTGCCCCACTCTTCCATATTTTGAAATATTTTTCAACTTCAACAATAAAAATGCACAAGTTTTAAGCAAATTTTGTTAGCTTTGTAATGTCTTTTTTAACCTGGTTATTATGAATGGACGCTCGCGGTTTATTTTAATAAAATATTGTTAGGGTAACTCGGGGCAAAATGAGACAGCGGGGCAATACGAGGCAGTTCGCGTTTAACATGATGCCAGCCCTACAAATTATTATTTGCAAGATTTTTAAAAGTGCAGTTGTGTTCAAAAACTATTTTGTGTCAAGAAAAATATATCAAGTCACTTTAAAATAAAAAAGTTGAGTAAAAAGGAAATCATTTTATCCCTCGGGTTTGCGAAAATTACGAATTTTTAAGTGTTGTTATTATATTTTTTCCTAGCCTTTTTTGATCTCACTGAGTGGAAAAGCTTTTTATATTTAAAGTTTTTTTTTTAATTAGAATCTTTAGGCCTTTTTCTTTCATTTCCATTCTTTGGTATTTTATTTCTTCAATAAAATAGTCTTTGTAAAAAAAAACAAAAAAAACAAACACTTTGTATTTTTTTTTTGCCGATATCTAATATTATGTTTATTTAATTTTTTACATTAAAACAGCAAACAAAGCAAATATTAATATTTACATGCTGTAGATTTAAATTTATTATACTGTATTTACTTACTTTTTATTTTGTTAATTGAAATGTTTAGTTGTTATCCAATATAGAAGTACGTTTTATATTTTGTTAACTTATATTTAAATATAATAAATGTTTAATCAAATTAAAGCAAATAATTGCCTGATGTTTATAATTACTATGTTTGTATTTTATAATCTTATTGTATTGTAATGTAATAAAGTAAGTAATATATAAAATATATAGTGATTATAACATATAGGTTATTGCAGTACCTATAAACAAAATACAATGAATGTTATGCGTGCTTTAAATACATAAGTTTAATATATGAAGGTATGGTTTTATTAGTTCTTGTAGTGGGTATGTATATATATATATATATATATATATATATATATATATATATATATATATATATATATATATATATATATATATATATATATATATATATATATATATATATATATATATATATTATTAAGAAAACATCAAATAATACGAATTCTCTTAATACAAATGATAATTTATTATTAGAATCACTTTAATTGAATGTGAATGCTCAAAGAGATACGTAGGCGAAACCAAACTTCAAATTAGGACTCGAATTCAACAACATCAAAAAAGTTTAAACGAGGGGAAACATTATCAGTCGGCAATAGCCACCCATAATAAGTTTTGCTCACAAGAAATAAAGTGGGAGGATGTTAAAACAATTAAAGTGGAAACAAAAAAGTTTGATCGAAAAGTGCGCGAAGCTCTTGAAATACAGAGGTATCAATGTTCTCCTTTAAATGGTGGCATTAATCTAGATGACGGGCAATTTGTTAAAACTAAATTTTGGACTCCGTTTTTTACATTTTTACGTAAGCAAGAAAGAAGCCATTCAATTGCTGATGTCAGTTAATTTTAAACTGTTTTTAACGTTAAAAAAATTTTGTATTCATTTTTACGAGCTGATGATACTGGTAACCATAATCCAGCGAAAATTTCTAATAATAAATTATCATTTGTATTAAGAGAATTCGTATTATTTGATGTTTTCTTAATAATATACATACACTCTTATACACGATGTCAACACTAAAGATAGATATATATATATATATATATATATATATATATATATATATATATATATATATATATATATACATACATATGTGTATATATATATATATATATATATACATATGTGTGTGTATATATATATATATATATATATATATATATATATATATATATATATATATATATATATATATATATGTATATGTATATGTATATGTATATGTATATGTATATGTATATGTATATGTATATGTATATGTATATGTATATGTATATATATATATATATATATATATATATATATATATATATATATATATATATATATATATATATATATATATATTTAAGTGGAGTCAATGTTCAAAATGCACCACCTGGGCTCATTTGGACTGTTGTTCGTTTCAAAATACTGGTCAAGCAATATGTGATTAGTGACAGTTTGATTATAGCTGTAATATATTATAAAATGTATTTTTTGCTAATCCTCTTAAAGATCTGTCTCATTTTGCCCCTGTATGAGGGCAAAATGAGACAGGATAGGTGCTGTCAATAAATGATCTCTGGTGACCAAACTACTGGAGTTTTGCAACTCATACTTTTTAAACTTCAAGTAGGATGGTAGAAGAATTGAAAAATATAAATTGATTTTTTCAAAAGTTGTTAGACGGGCCGTATTAGATATATTAGCGCTTAAGTGTCTCATTTTGCCCCTCGTTACGCTAAGAAGAGAAGGTTAAACACATTCAATGATAATTTAAAGAAAATGTTTTTTTTTATAACGCAGCTCAAAGATGAGCTCCTCAAATGCACTATTTGTAAATTCCAATTTGACACGAGTTGTCATGAACGATCTGCAATCGAAGATCGTTTTAAGTATATCAAACACAAAATGGTTTTGGATGCTTCTGTATTGTCAAGCAAAATCACAAAATTGACAAGTCAGAACTTTGGTCAAAAAAAAAAAAAAAATATTTAAAAAAAATTAAAATTATTTTTTTGACATTATTTTTTAATGTATAATTTTGTATCATTTTTAATGTATAAATATATAATTTATTTTAAAGAAATAATTTTGTAGAGGAGAGTGTGTATGAAAGAGCCAGTTTTAAAAAGGTATGAAAAAAAGTCAATTTTGAATAATTAAAAAAAAAAAATTTTTTTGGTTTAAATAGTTACTTTATTGGGTAATAATAAAATATTGGTAAAATTGGGCAATAATAAAAATTTGGTAAAAAATAAAATAAATTGGTTAACAATGCTAATAATCTGTCATACAACTATTTTAAAAAAAGAGAGAAATCAGCTCTTTTATAACATCTTGTCAATGAAAGAGCC